TGAAGAGAAGGGTCCCAGCCTGCCCTAGCCTCCTGTCCATAGGAAATCTCGGGCCAGGAGGATTCTGGTGGCCTCTCCTTAGCCGCACCTGCCCAGGAGCAGCGTGGCCTTGCTCTGTGGGCAGCTTACTCCTCTTCTGGCAACAAGCCCAGCTTTGCTAATGGCCCAGGATTCCACATCATCCCAGGCCTTACTTTTCCTCAGAAGCCACTCTCTGCTCCCGTCACTTCTGCAAAGGATGCTGTGCAGAGATCAGGTCACCGTCCACGGTTTTCCTTCACCGGTCACCATGTGTTGCAGCCCAGAAGAGCATTTTGTAACTCTGCGAGGCAGATTCCTTTACATTGCTCCAAATCCATCTGACCTTTTTGGTTCAGCCCATTTCCAGGGTGCGCGAGGTCGGGGGTTCTCTCCTCCCAGAGCCATCAGAGGAGGCGGGTCCTCACTTGGCCCTCAGGAGTTGGGAGCACAGTTCCATCCTGATTCCCATCTTGGGCTAGAGCAGCAATGAGGCTGATGTGAAGGATACACAGGTGACCCCATCAAATCAGCCCAACTTCTGACCTGGGGAGATGCAGTGCTTCTTTGGAGGTTTGGGTTTTGTATTGAATGGACAGGGCTGGGCGGTGCGAGGCACGGGTGGACAGCAGAGACCTGTAGCCTCCTGGGTGACCGGGAGTGAGACGCTGGAGCCCAGAGCCGTCTGGGGAAACAGGATTTGCCCTGTTGCGCTTTCTGCTCTTGGGGTGATCTGATAACCCAGTTGCCACACGTAGCAGAGGGGACATGGAAAGTAAATTAAGAATTGTTCTGATTGAAAATTATGGAGCAATTTAGGGTCACCTTTTCAATTATTTTCTCACTCTGGAAGGGCCAGAAATGACCCCGACTCTAACTCATCAACACGAGGCCCGTGTGAATGCTTGTTAAGTGCCTGTCTATGGACCGAAGCCCAGACACACACCATAGCAGCCCTTAAGCTCCCCAGCGGAGCTGAGCCCAGAATGGCCAATACCCGCATTTAACTTCTATTTACTTTTAGTTTATACCGCCCAGTTTTTACCAAAATTGGCACCTTCTTTCCCCTTTTTACTTAGCATCCTTGCTAGCGGGTAGACAAGAGACTTCCTTGGTGCCGATCAGCATACAGTTGCGCCATCACCTCCACCTGACAGAGGATGAGACTTTAGGGGGCCCGGCCAGTGAGGGGCAGAGCAGGGCTCAGGCCACGCGCCACTGACCGTGGGGCCCAGGCTTGTCACCCCTCTGCTCTGGTGTTCTCCTGAGGCCGAGAATTCGGGGTGCGACTGAGGAATCCTGCTTTCAGTTTAGTCCACTTCAAGTCGGACTTGCTCATCACTCAAGACAAGTCCAAGACCTGTTCACAGATGAGGCGGTAATTCAGACGGCCCATGTGAGATTCTTTAAACCTTAAGGGTTTGAAGTTTTGTTGAGAGATTTCAACAACATTAAACCATTAGAGACTAATGGTAACTAATAGTCACTGAGCACCTTGCTTCCTGGTCTGACACCACAGGTATGTGTGTCACAAATATCTAATCTCACTTTGTGACCTGCCTTTCCCTCTCTGTAGGGTCTTTTGATGAACAGAGAGCGTCTTTAGAGTTGGTACTTTTTATATCTGAATTAATTCATCACTCCTCCAGGGTCAAAGCTCCTCTCTGTACTATCTTCGGAAAGTGCTTCTGTTTGGCCATCAGTTTGATTCTGAATCTAAACTGAATCAAAGCATGTCACATAGGCCTCCCACGCCCTGGTCCGCTGGGACACCCAGCCCTGACAGCTTCCCCAGCCCACTCCTGCCTCTTCTCAACTTGAGGCTTTCTACCAACCCCACGTTTAACCACGCCCGACACAGATCTCCAGCTGGAACCACCGGGGCCCCTGGGGATATCGTGCACTAAATGTCCACACAGCCCCATCCAGCCCCGCCGGCCAGCGGATCTGCTCCTGCGCAGGCTCACTCGGCTTTGTGGTGCTGCTGGTTCAAAGACAGGAGGAGGAATACGCTTCCAGTCTCCTGGAGCCCTTTCCGAGCAGCCCCAGCCTCTCGTGGGGCCTTCAGAGAAAACATAGGAGAAGTGCAATTGGGAATTTAGGACAGGCATTTAGACTGAAACTCAAAAAAGAAATTGGGAATCTGGATTTGCAGATACTAACCACTATACCTAAAATAGACAATAAAGTCCTACTGTTCAGCACGGGAACTATATTCAATACCTTGTAATAGCCTATAATGGAAAAGAATGTGAAAGATAATATATATATATATAACTGAATCACTGTGCTGTACAGCAGAAATTTACACAACGTGGTAAACCAACTATGCTTCCATAAAAGGAATAAAAGGAAATAAATAGATAAATAATAGAGTGAAACTCAGAAAAGAGCCAAAGTCTTGATAAAGCAGCCAAGGGCACAGCAGTCTGTTGGGATCAAGAACTGTCCACCTCCGGCAGGTAAACAATGTTCCTGAAAATGTGATTCGGCTGTGGGGATGGCGCCATCCCCCCTGCCAGTCTCCATAACTGCCGTTATTTTAATACACAGAGCTCAGCGCATTCAAGGGACAGTTCAGCTGCAGGTACAATGATTTCCTCTCCTGTAAGTGCTAGGGTTGAAATTTTCAAATTACCGTTGTTTGTGTTGGTTTCCAGCACAGGGAAATGGCATAATAGTAATATAATGGCCAATACGTATAAAGAGCTTGCTCTGCGCCAGGGGTGGTTCTGAGCCCTCTCTGCGTGTTGACTCATAATCCTCACAACCCCCTCCTCCCAGAGCGCACCTCCCCCACCTCCCTCCAGCTTTTGTCTTTATTCTGTGCAGAACCTGTAGCCAAGGTTCCCTGCCCCTCCGCCCTCTGGCCTGCCAACCGCCTTCCACGGGAGCAGCGAGGCCAGGCAGCCCCCCACCCTGCTCTCCCCCACCCCCGCCATCAGGGAAGTGGGCTCGGATGAGCCCTCCGAGAAAAGACCAGGGGGTGACTTCGTTATCATTTTCAAGTATCTGAAATGTCTTCAAGAAGAAAGACTGCTGTCATCTGTGAGCATTAGTCATGTTCTAAAAAACTCAAGGGATTGGGCTTAAAATAAAATCGAGAACATCAGAAGGAAACTTGGAGAAAGCCAGAATGAGAAAACGATAGCACGGCTGTTTGGGGGTGGGTGGGGGTGGCAGGGTCTTTGTCCACAGAGATCCAAACGGGGCATCCACGCCGGGAGCCGGGGAGCTGCTGGCCTCCCCCCTCCCTTCACCAGCGGCCACGCAGTGTTCACCTTCCTCACACCCCTGGATGCTGATTGCAGGAGGCGAGGGGCTGGCCTGCTTTGTCGGGCTTCTTGTGGGTGTGGGAAGCGGTGGCCGGCCCACAGCATCCTTGGTTGGATGATGATGCTGGTCGAGTCATCTGGGCCAACTTCCTCTGCGTCTCCCCTTCCCTGGGCCTGTTTGGACTTGGACCACCTCTAGCCTGGCTCCTCGTGGTCCCTCACTGCTCAGGCCACTAGAGGGTCCGAAATACAATCACAGTCCTGCCCTCACCTTCCTCCACGACCCAGGGGATCCACTTGGCTCACAGGCTCATCCCTGATTCCTTTGAGGTCTGCTAAGCCCTGGCCCCACTGCCCTTCCCTGCCCCTCCCACGCCGCTCGCCCCTCACCCACAGCGCTTTCAAGGCTCCCACGCCCACCCCATACCCGCTTTTGTGCAGGCTGTGCCCCTGCCTGGAGCACCCAGCCCACCTGGCGGACATCGTCTTGTCCCCAGAGCCCCCTTGAGGGCCCCTCCCTCTGGGAGCTGTCTCTGGGAGGCTCTCCTGCCCCTCAGTCTTGGATTCGGCAGCCCCTGCTCAGTGTCCTCAGGTGCCTTGTTTTTACTTCCATCACAGCACTTGCCAAGTCGTTCATTCAGATCGTCAGCACATTTTTCTTGACGGCCAAACACCATCCGATGTCAGGGGTACAGGGTGAGGCGGGCAAGGGCCCACGTCATCACATGAAGGAACAAGACAACTTCGAGTCATTCCGTACTTGGTTATGAAATACCCGCCATGCCTGGCATTTACTGAGCGCTCGCTGTGTGCCCTTGTATCTGCTCGTGTTGCCCTCATAGCCCCTCATCTTAAGGTCAAGAAAAATGTGGCTTGGAGGGCAGAGGCGGCTGTCACACCCAGCCTCCGGGGCTCTCACCTGCCTGGCCAGTCCCTCCTGGGCTGGACCACCAGGCAAAGATTCGCCCTCCCCCAGCAAGTACAGACAGCAGGACAAGTGCAGTGGAGGGGCACAGGGGCCGGAGCAGCAAGGGGAAGGGCACCATTCTGGGCAAGGTGCTTTCTCAGGTAAAGTGACTTCAAAGCCAAGACCTGAAGGATGCGCAAGAGTCACTGAAGAGGAGAGGATGCAGAGTGTCCCAGCTGAGGGTGCAGTCTGGGACAAGGCCCCAGAGGAGGGAGCAAACCTGGCAAACCGGAGAAAAGGGAGTTTGGGTGCTGGAGAAGGGCCTGGTGGGGGCACGGAGCCCGACGTGTGGATGGAGAGGTTGAGGCTTTGTTCCTGGAGCTGTCGGAAGCCAGCGCGTGGTTTCCAGCCAGGTGGTGACGATCTGATACGAGGCTCCCAGCCATTGGCGGAGAGCAAATAAGATGGAGACAAAAGTTGATGTGGGAAGACTTGTTTGGCCAATTCATTCCCCAGAAAAGATGATGATCTGGACGAGGGTAGAGAAAAAGAGAAGTGAGTGGATCTGAGAGAATTCAAGGGAGGGAAATGTCCCAGCGCTTGGACAGTTTGCATGTGAAGATCAGGGTGGGGGGGGGAGGACAGGTTGCCACGCGGGTGGCTAGTGTGGGCAAGGGGCTGCTTGGCAACATGACGTGGCACCGAGAACACAAGGGAAGGAGGAGACAGTGATGACATCGGGGGTGTGCGTGGATCTGGGGTCCCTAGGAGCATCTGAGTGGCAGTCGGAAGGTTCAGCCAGGGCACCCAGAGCGAGTTGCCTGGATATACAAATTTAAGGTCATACACAGACTGTGTTTGAAGCTGTCAGAGGGGATGAGTTTACTGAAGGAGACAGAGAAACTGATGGAGACCTGCCTGTCTCCTCTCTCTCTGCAGTGTGGTCACCCACCTGCACTGTCCCATCTGGGAGCCACTGGCCACATGTGGCTATTTAAATTTTAATGAAAATGATTAATATGAAATACAATGAAAAATTCTGCCTTCAGTCCTACCAGCCCCATTTCAAGTGCTCAGAAACCATGTGGCTGGTGTCTTCCCTAACGGACCATGCAGATTACAGACCATTTCCATGATCACAGACCAGTCTGCTGGACACCACTGGATCTAGACTAAGGGTTGTATTTATTTTGTATCCATGGTGCCCAGGCCCTCAGAAAAAAAAAGGTGGAATTCCTTCAATGAGACACCTTTAGGAAGTAAACAGGCAGCCATTTGCTGGCCTAAAGATCAGAAAAGGAACCCATCCATTCTTTAGGGGCCTTTGGATGAGTCGTTGGCCCCACGCTAGGGCCCCACGCTGCCCACACCACCATCCCCACATGCCCCGGCCAGAACGCAGGAGTGTCCGTGCATGGGCTCTCCAGCGAGAGAGGTCCCTGCGTGATTATCCAGCTTAACTTCAGTCTTGCTTCTTTCTTGGGCCCACGGGCAATAGAATAGATGCATTTGAACACGTCAACCCTTTTAGAATCACTTTGCGAAACACCTGAAACTAACACAACATTGTGAATCAACTAGACGTCAATAAAAATTTTAAAACAATGTTTTAATTTAAAAAAAAACCTTTTAGATTTACAACTCAGAATTACAGAGTGACAGATTGAGAGTCTTCACAGAAAATCAGATCCTGAACTTCTCATTTCAGAAACCAGTTCTGAATTGTCAACAAAGGTTCAGTTTTTGCTTTTGCTTCTGTTTTTCATCTTCGTTAAGTGTGGACCTTTGCTCTTTCTTTTCTTTTTCAGTCGGATGTCATGGATCAGAATTTGTTAAATTTCCTTCCAGAGCAAGAACATTCAGAAGTTTATAAAATGCTTTCTTCCCATATGCTCCTGACGGATTCCCCCTCCCCAGAATACTTAAAATGTGAGTTTGACTTCAGTCGTTTGACAAGCTAGAAAGATAAGAATTCTACTTTTGAAAGAAGGTTAGAATGAATTAAGAAGGCAGGACTAATTTTAAGAATAATTTTCCTTGTGACTCAGAGCATTTCCAAGATCCTTAGAGGTATATTTTAAGTTTAAAGCTAAAACTGGCATTTGGAATATGTAAGCCATTTAACTTTTATGTGGAAAATTTGAGAGCACAGAGCTTAAGCATAATAACTTGCTTCGCTTGTAATACAAGAGATCCCTATTTTTTAACATGAGTCTTTAAGTCACAAATGGTCAAATGGTACAAAGAAAGATCCATGAACAGTTGGCTTCTTTTGGAGGACACTATAATGCTAGGCGTGTGTGACACTAAGTGACCAACCGAAAACTGAATAATTAGATCAAAAATCCAAATTCTCTTCTGAGGCTGTCATCTGGTTATTTATCTACATTTGCAAGATTTATGGAATTTTAAAGTCTCAAAATTGGCAAGCTGGTTAGAAGGCTGGCCTTGGTCCCTTGATAAAGCTGAGCCACGTGTCACTTAGTAAAGCATGTATGTGGCTGGCGAGACCAAGATGCCTGGTGCTTGTTCAAGCCCCTAGACCATTTTCCAGGAATAATGTGTCCTGTTGTACACCTGATTTTTACTTCAAAGCAAAGTGAAAAGATTAAAGACAGCCGCTCTATGTCAGCAGCTTCATTTTACTCTACGGTGAGAAAACAGCCGGAACTTATCAGTGCCGACAGACCCAACCACAGACATCTGTGAACAAATTAGGGCTAATGGGGTCCGAGTCTGGAATGCAGAATAGCTACAAACTACGGAGCGGAAACACCTATGCAGCAAAGGTTGAAAAACCGTGTCCGAAAGCCAGTCCTCACGGGAGAACTAGCTGCTCTGCGTGTTGCCCCGGCCCTGGGAGTCTAACCCAGATGCGGTTGGTTGAGTCTTGAGTCAGTACGATGCTCATCTTCTCTTTCTCTCCTTTTTTCTTGAACGGCCCAGCTGACAACGATTTAGAATTTTATTGCCATCTTCTCAGAGGCAGCTTGAACCCCAAGGAATTTCCAACTTATGAATACATAAAATTTGTAGGAAATTTTCGCGCTTACAACAATGGTAAGCTTTAATTGTCCCCTAATTGTGGCGAGTGTCTTTTGTCATGCAAATGTGCCCCGGGGGCCTGGGAATCGCGGAGGGAGGGAGGAGGAGGGAGGCTGTGCTTTCCATGTTTGCATTCAGATTCTTGTGTTCCCGAGACGTTTTTGTGCCTGGAAACATTATCTCCCGTTTGGGAAGCATCCCACACCTGTTTATGCGGGGGCACGTAGTCCTCCCGAAATGCGCATTAATTGTTGATTTAGGTTCAGGCTAATGGAAGAGTTCTGTGCTGTGAGAAACCACTTACAGTTAATAAAGACCAGGCAGGCTTCACTGTGATTTGAAGAGCTATCATCTTGGCTTCTGCATTTTCCTCCCACTTCTTACAGAGCTGCTGGAGCAGGTTTTAACAGACCCAGCATATCAGCCTTCTGCTCAGTCTGGCCCTAACGCACAGCGCATGGTCATTTCACGAGACGCTGACCATGTCCAGTAGATGAGCAGTAAAATCTTGCTTTCCGAAATTCCCCCAGATAACTCATGGTCCCAGCTCCGGCTGCAACTCGAAACTAGACTTAAAAATGCTCTGTTACACTTTTGACCCAGGCCAAATGGGAATGCAGGCCCGATGCCAGAACTTCAGAAACACGGGTGGGTCCCGGCTCACAGCTCCCTGGTGGAGCCCAGCCCAGGGCAGCCTGCATTCTGTTTGCTCCACTCTTCAGAATGCAGTGCAAAACACGGAACTTTGAAGGCGCTAACATTTCATAAAGTGGCAGAGATGGGGGAAAAACAGAAGGAATAGACAGGGATTGGTGGAAGAGGACAAGACAAAAGGAGAGAAATAGCAAAGGTAACAAACACGGACAAAGATGAGCTCCGGAGATGGCGGGGGGGCAGGGGGCGACACCCGGGAGCTGACGGTGGCAGGTGACTTGCGCTGCTTTGGTTGCTGTGATTTAACCCTGGACCTACGTCGAGTCTGGAGTTTCCATTAGAAGCAGCCAATGCGACAGCACCGAGTCCTGATGCTCAGGCTACCCCGGAGTTTTCCTCCAGCCTTTAGCTGATCTCTGTTGTATGTGATCTACATGAATAGACATGCTTTGCCCAAAAGGCTTCAACTCTCTGCTAAACAACATGGTCCTTTGGGCCCAGTGTTCAGGACTCATGCCTGGTTGATGGGCTCCATGGCCAACTGGGGGCCCTCCTGGAAAGCTCCCCACCCACGGCTCAGTGTGCCTGACTGGCTGGAAGTGGGGGCAGGTCAGCCCACCCAAGGGGGCCCCTAAAGCTGGGCAAAGCGGGTGAAGCCAAGGCCTGCCCGTGTCTAATCCCACTCATCTGAAAGACTTTCCTAAACCTCGTGAGACAGATGTCTAACGAACCACACCGGTAAATCAATTGACGTAAGAGGTGCTTCATGGGAAACCCAACATGGTGCCAGCCCCAGTGTCATGGTTCCAATGCATATTCTCCAGGAGTCACTAAAAGAGTCCAGCTCGGGGGCTCTGAGGGTGGGGCTGGGACCATGCGGTTGGAAAACCTTGGGGTTCAGATGCACAGGGGCGTGGATGTCGAGAAACACTGTCTCCTTGTAATACTAAATGCCACCCCATAGGCTCGCTGACGGAGCTCTTCCAGATGACCGTACCCTTGACTTAAACATAAGCAGGGGTTTGGAATTTGCTTAAAATGTGTGCTGTGACCATAATGCCAGCGGCCAGGAGGGCAGCATATCCCCGCTGGCTGCGTGCAAGGAAGGCCCCCAGAGGGCCAGGGCTGCGGGAGTCATGGGATGCTGTGTCCCTGTGGCAGCAACGCCGCACTTGGTGAAGGGAACCCACCTGTGATTGGCTGGTGAGTGGCGTTATCCTTTGTGAATTCACACCTCCACGGCGCTCATGAAGAGGCTGCTGCGGGAACACCTGAGTTCTTAAAAAAAATTGCTGCCGAGCATCACTTGGAAGCTTCCTGCCCTTTGTCCCATTTTAGAGGATGTCAAGGAACCAACCAGGCTTCTTTGTGAATACCTGAGGTTTTTTTGTTTTGTTTTTTAACTAGCGAGGCTTTATTTTCACGTCAGGTTGAGACAATGTTTGTTTGCCTGAAAGAATGTGTGGAAATTATGTGTGATTTTTTTTTTTGAAACTGTTACTGCTATAAACACACCGCCTTGAAAGTGGAAAATTTAAAACCGAGAGTTTAAAACCAGAGTGTCTCCCCAGAGCCTATTAAACAAACCAGTCAGGGGTGCTTTCTTGAGATAAGAGTCTCCAAATATAATCGTGGAGAAACTGAGATATCATTCTCACTTGGATTCAAACCGCAAAACAAACAAAGTCAGACAAATGAATTCTAAGACGGAACGCTGTGACGTCAGCAGCAGTCAACCCGTTTTGACCTCTAAGGTGTGGTTTGACGTAAGAAATCATTCAGATTTGGTTCTGTAGGTTGACTCCTCCATAAACATTGAACAGTGAGATAATAATCTCAACAGAGGAGGAAACTGATGCATTAAAGAGTTAAGTCTAATGTGCACAGGTGGGAAGTGGGGGCCCACCTTCGTAGCCATTCTAACCCTGAGCCATACCCTTAACCTCAGTGCTTTGCTGCCTCCCGCAAATCTAGGTTGAAATGACACAGGCAGATGCGAACGCAGGCCTCTCCCTACTGCCCAGCATTCTGCTGGTATGCGATGCCTGTACTGTGCAGATCGGGTGTCCTGCATCCATGGACCAGGCTGTTTTTAAGGGTACCCGAGATCTGTTTTAAACCAAGCATGGTAAGACACACAGATGTGGAAATGGCTGAGATGAAGGAAGAGGTGGACGCTCACAGATTCCCTGGAAACAGGCACAGCTTGCCGCGGAAGGCCGCTGGGGAAGCACCAGGGCAGGTCAGGAGCAGAGGCAGCAGGAGGAGACGTGGGCAAGGGCCTCTATCGAGGTTTCTGTGGAAAAGAGCAGGCGAGGCAAGGTCAGCAGGCTTGGGATCAGCTGGTTTGACTGTTTGGAGCAGCGTCTTGGGTGTAGGAGCTGCCCTGAGTTGTCTGGCCCTGGGGTGATTATGTCAGGTGGATGGTGGCCCAGAGTGTGGAGAAGATGGTTGGTGGAGGAGATGGTTGGGGGCGTGAGTGCCGGATGGGTTGGTTTACATGTGAAAGGAACACCAGAAGTGAGTTGTCTGCTATCTCTAGAAGCTGGCTGGCTATTTTGTGGGGGAAGGTAATTAGGTTTACTTATTTGTTAATTTTTTTTTTTGAGGAGGTGCTGGGGATTGAACCCAGG